GTTTGACCAGAGCTGTACTCTCTACCAAATTCGCTCTATTAGAAGCACATTTCCAATAGAAATATATAGAAACCGAGCACTACTGTATGATGGATCATTAAAATATGGCCTAAATTTGAATACAGAAAAATCATTTACGTAAATGCGCACGCTACTAATAATGCAAATAATGTATTTGTACGTTTTGATCACAGCAATTTCATTCGTGATGAGAGTATTTGCTGTTATCACGCTGCAGTTTTCTGACACAGATGGCAGCAAACACACAGACGATGCCAGGAAAGGACAATATTTTGTTTGTGCATTATTGTGACATTTTTTGAATGTCTATGATGTGTAGTGAAACAACATTTTGAGAAAAGCCTTGAAATTATGAAAGACTAGTGATTTCTGGGTAGTTTTGTGTCAATTGTCATTTGTTCCAACCTTGCCTAATGTATTTGTATTGTTTGATATTGATATCTACTTGAAATCCAGCATTGTGGGTTGTTAGCCAATTTTCAAAAATTCTGGATTTTTGTTTCAAAGGTTCATATGCTTTAGGGAATGGTAGAATATTGCTGATACTACTAAGTCAACTTTTGCATAGACTTTTCACAAAATAAACCTACATATTTTTTCAAAAAGTTTCATAAACCTAGAAACTGTAGAAATTGAAAATTCTGTTCATTTGGTCTCAAATTATACATGTACCTAGACACCAAGATTTTAACGGGATATGCAGGCAAATCTGAAGGTGATCTGCAACATTCATTTATTCCTTAATCTGTTGGTATATCGTAATTGACCAATATTACCTTTGAATTATAATTGGCTAAAATGAACGTCTAATAGATGAAATACTGTAAAATGACTAATTTTCACTGGGTTTAAATTTCGCTGATTTATCATTTCAGGCATATTCAGTGGGTTTTAAATTCACGGTTTTATCATTTAGATAATGTGTTCTATGCTAAATTTTACATATTCACTGGGTTTTAATTTAGCATGTTTTTCCAGTCAGTGAAATAAGCAAAATTAAAACCCAGTGAATAATTAACCCGTTTACAGTATAGTAACTATATGTTATTGTAAGGTACATTGACCTAATATGTCAATTTGGAGTGGAAAAAGTACACAAACATAAGTACTGTAAATCAAGTTTGGAACTTATTTCTAAATCACACACAGTTTCTTTATTTCAAAAAAAATTACTTTCAACTTTTATTCGAGCCTTATCTCCTGGGTCAACAGAGAAGGTAACTGCATACATCTTTGTATGGAATACTTGGTTTGACAATGCCTACAAACCAAAGTGCTCTATTTGAAATTCCCCCGTCATATTCGTTTATTTACAGTGTAAGCTTGAAAAAAACTATTTCCTGGTCTTGAGATGTTGAAAAAAAAAAAATGTTTTTTTATTTTGTTGTTTTAAGAAATTTAGACAAAAGTGGCTTTTGAACTGATATGTACATTGACCATAAACAAATCACTGTCTAAAATGACTGTATAATAGTTTGATACCATGCAGGTCAGTTTTGCAATCCTTTTGTAATGTGTTTTGCGTGCCATGTCTAAATATACCAAACAGTTGTTTTATTCAATATTAACTTTTGAGCAACCTTTGTTACCCATTCACAAAATGAAATCCACATTTTTACCAAAAGTTTGATGAAGACATGTAGCGAAAAGGAAATTTGCATGTGCATTTGGTCAATAAAAAAAAAAATCTGGATTGGAAAAATTATGGCGCCCTGAGGGAAGAATGGGGAACATTACATTGTAGTGGAATTGTAACATTGTGCACTCTCTTCTAGTGTGGTGTGCATATTGTGTTTGTCAAAGTTTGGTTACACTTGTGGGATTTTAAGTCATTAATTAATATAAATCGAGCTGTAAAGAAATTTGACCATATTGGCTGTTAATTCAGTTTGGCTTTCTTGATTCTGACTATCAGGGCACCCTAACTGTCCTGTCTACCTTAATATTAGAATAATTTGCATAGTTCAGTCTGAGTGCAAGAAAAAGATTGTCAATTTTATTTTAGTAAATTATAAATTGACAAACTTGTTGAGACAACATTCATACAAAACAGGTAGTGTATTTTACCAAGGACATATAATTCATTCACCTGTGAAATTGAATTCACACAAAAATAAATACATAAAGCAGCCACAATGTTCTTAGGTGACCAAAAGAAAGTCTATTAAGTGTGTATAGATATCAAAGGACATAAAACAGATCTGTATACAGTAGCAACAGTTATTGTATAGTGTATATTAATGACTAGATCGTAGATACTAATATATCCAAGTTTTATACTCTTTTTGAAAAAATGTGTACTTCAAGTATATTTACTAATCTCTCTTTGATGAGATTGTATGCTATTAAAATACCTTATAAATAGTTTTCTTACACTCTGTATCTTGTCTAAGTAGTATTTTATGAATGTATACACTACAATCATTTATAATTAAATTTAGTAAGCATAGGTCACTTGTTAAAAAATCATCAGTACTGGTGGTCAAAGTCATATTGTAGTAAAACAATGGAACACTTTCAGTGCCATTTCAATTTTATTTTGAATATTTTCAACCACAATATAAGCCTATTAATGAAAACTGACTTCAGAAACAAAAGTGGGTTTTAAAATCAATTTCAGAACCGAAGAAAAGGATTATAAAATAAAAATTGATTTAAAAAATATAAATGAATTGAAAAAATCGTTTTAAAAAATATCTTGTGAGCCAGTTGCCATACTGTTGTCATATAATTAACTAAAACCATTAAACCATTCGTTACCAATAATAGATGAATCGGACGTTGTTTTTTGTAAATTACTTAAAATTTACGTAAAATAGTGCTACCAATACTCCAACCTTTTTTTTTTCTGAATGTTTTGTTTCGTATTTGAATTCTGATATAGTTTCTGTTCTATGGGGCGGTCGCGTCGTATTCAATAATAATAATAGTTTACTGCATCTTTAGAAATGCATATTTCATTCAGTATATAGCAATAGAAATATTAATCAATACAAAAAATAAAATATAACAAGTAAGATTTTAAAAATATGACTGACATATTATCTGTAGTTCCATATTCGGCATGTGTTATTTACACAACCAGCAACATAACAAAACATGTCTAAAAAAATATAACTATTGGTATTGGTAAGCCCCCTCCCCGCCACACACGCGCATATCTTCACCGCATCACAGTCACTCATACACCGCATCCACTCAAAGTGACAACGTTTCTAAAATTATCTCAGAGGGAAAACTACGTTCGGTCAAAAAGAAATCACCTCGTCGTTGACGTCATTTTCAAGAGCTGTCCAATAAAAAGACAGGGATCACATGCTCTTCGGGTCTATAGCCAATCACAGTTTAACGATTTCACAACGCAGGTCAATATTTTCTGATGCAATCCTTTCGGGCGAAGTGCACCCAACTTATTGCCATGTAAATACTCAAATATATAATCCTTTTGAGAAAAACACAAAAACTTGATATTTTCAATAATAAATCTTACACAACCTTTCTAATTAGTTGAAATTATTTCACCGGAATATATGTGACTATAGTTCCTTCAATAAGGTTATCAAGCAAATGGTGCCGCCAGTTTAATTAGCGGATTGATTTGGATTGCGCGGAGGTGAAGCGGTTCTAAGGCACGAGAGATCAGAATGTTTTTTCTGCATTCATTTCCTGCTATTCTGACAAATGTGACACACCAGTAACTCGCGGAGACGGGATCTATTGACGAAATGGCGCTCTAAAATAAAACCAGCACCCACATAACTGCAATCTACGATTGCACAGAAGACAATAAACATGGCGTAAGTAGTTCGATGTTTTTTTTCATTTGATTTTGAGCAATATTTGCCCGTTTTACGTAGTATGAACAGTCTCGAAAATACCTTTTCATCCATGTCTTGACATAAAAAATGCCACGTCATCGCACAAACGTGCTAGGTTTTTTTTCACAACAGAACTTTATATATATTTGTTGTCAACTATCTTTCCATTTATTGTGGAATTTGTTTATATATTATTTTTAGTTAGGGGTATGTGCAATCTAATGTTATGTAAGCATGACTCATTGTTTGTTTACTATCCGTATCTAGTTGATACGCACCAGATACCTACAGACAATTTCGTGGTTAGTTCAAGGATGATTAAATTGTTCGTAAATTACATTTTACAAATGTAGAACCAAAAGAAATTACAAGTGTTCGAGCTCGCGATTTGATACCGTATGGCATAAAACAGATACCAATTTAACGTTGTGAATGGCGCCTACATGTCATGTGAGTGGTGCGTGTTCCCGTTTGTGTTAAGACGTGACTTTGAAAAATTATTATAATGAGCTAATTTGCACACAATGGTTCCTCTCACGGACGTCAACAACAATTCGATTTTTGCCAGCTGTTGAAAAATTTAGAGAGTGGGTTGCTCGATATATTTTTGACTTGGTAGTTTGTAAAATTATATGCTGATATGGATGTGTTTTTAATTACAGACCCCTTGCGACCACGAACCCAATTATTGGGAAATCAAATACCGGATTCATAAAACGAGAGAAAAATAGTGGTGAAGATGTTGAGTTTAGGATACGACGAAGATTCTCCCTTCAACTCCCTTTTTGGGGAGCTTGAAGGCGGGTTATTACAGGAGACTGGAGTCAAAGGTACTCCCTATCCCCAAGACGGGATCTGTGGCGGTGATCTATTGCAAGAATTGGATGAGCTGGCAGAAAGTAAGTACCGTAGTAGACCTGGTTATATCATTATACTGGGCTTGAAATTTTTCTGCAGTGAATTTCAAGGCCAACAAATATAACATTACCTCCGACTCTTAACGTGTGAAGATGTGGTTGAAATATGGTACTATCAATGCATTTTGGTGGCGCATATATATATATATATATATATATATATATATATATATATATATATATATATATACATACATATAGGCAATGACTTTCATGAATTTTGAATTCTGGTTTTGTTGTAACAAATATTTCAGTCAATTTGAGTTGTAGAATATTGTGACTGAAAAATTAATGCTATAAATTTTATTCCCATTTCAGGTCCACTCGCAGATTGGTTAACTGAAAAAGTTGATTTTGGTTCATTGGAATTCCAAGACGATGGCAGTCTCATACCTGACAGTGAATTTAACTCTCAACTTGCTGAAATGCCCCCAGTGTTGGTTAATTCAGAAGTTGATGAGTTACAGGAGTTGGCAGTGAGCCCAGCCGACTTGGAATTACTGAACAGTCTTGTCGTCAATTCTGAAGTACCGCCACAGCCAGTCTCCCCTGGAGAAA